GGCTCGGCCCAAATTCAGGCCAGGAAAGAAACTGGAAATGAAACTAGAGGAAGGGGTTCAACTTTTTCAGGTCATGGATAATTCTCCCTTCCTCTCCATCCTTTCTTATCTCTTCTCCTTCCTTCTATCCCTTCTGATCCTCATCCCCTGTCCTCTCCTCTGTCCTCTCCCTCCATCCCTCTCTTCCTTTACCTCCTCCAACCCCTCACCCATGCCATCTTGCTCTAGAAAGAGGCTGTTTATTGGGCTTCTGTGTACCATCCTAAAGCACAATGATATCAAAATAAAAATGAGAATGCCTCAGACTCAGGCAGATGGCAGATCTGAGGCTTAGTTTCCCTGACCTGTTCCCAGTTCCTGTGTAACATGGATGTTGAATGGAGAACAAGTGGGCCCACTACAGCAGATCGAAGGGTGAAACCCGGGACCAATGGACTAACTATAGGAAGTGGCAGAAATTCTGAGATTAGAAGCCATCAGAAACCATGGCACTACTTTACACCCACTAGGATGGCTATAACCAAAACAAACAAACAAAAAAAACGGAAAATAGCAAGTGTTGGTCAGGTTGTGGAGAAATTGGAATCCTAATAAATCCTAGTGGGAATGAAAAATGGTTCAGCCACAGTGGAAAAGTTTAACAGTCCATCAAAAAGTTAATTATAGTTATATGACCCAGCATTTACACTCCTAGTTATATAACAAAGAGAATCAAAAATATATTTTCACCCAAATATTTGCACAGGAATATTCATAATAGCCCAAAAGTGGAAACAACACAAATGTTTATCAACTGACAAATGAATAAACAAAATATGCTATAGTCATGCAATGGAATATTATTCAGTCATAAAAAGGAAATAAGCACATGCTACAACTTGAGTGAACCTTGAAAACATTATGCTAAGGGAAAGAAGCCAGTCACAAAAGACAGCATATTATATAATTCCATTTACATGAAATGTAAAAAAGAGGGAAATCTGCACAGACAAAAAGTAGACTAGTAGTTGTATAGGGCAGGAAGGTAGCTGAAAGGAGGGGTGAGGTGAGTAAGGATATGGTGACAAATGTGCACAGAATTTCTTTTTAGGGCGATGACAGTGTTCTAAAATTGACTGTGGTGATGGTTGTATATACCTGTGAATATACTAAAAACCACTGAATTGCATACTTTAAGTGCATAAATTGTATCTTATATGAACTTTATCTTCATAAAGCTTTTTTAAAAACCTTGTACACCAGCTGGGCGTGGTGGCTCACGCCTGTAATCCCTGCACTTTGGGAGGCCGAGGCAGGTGGATCGCCTGAGGTCAGGAGTTCGAGACCAGCCTGGCCAACATGTTGAAACCCTGTCTCTACTAAAAATACAAAAAATTAGCCGGGCATGGTGGCGGGTGCCTGTAATCCCAGCTACTCAGGAGGCTGAGGCAGGAGAATCGCTTGAACCC